ACCGCCGCCACCGACGTCACGCAGACGGCCGATATCGGAGTGACCCTGAGTGGTTGCGCCGCCTCCGCCACCGGAGGAGAATAAACCACCAACTCACCAGTCTCCTCCGCCGTGAATCCCTCACCGCCAGCGGGAAGAGCCGCGAAACCAGGTTGACATATTCAAGGAAGAAAAATGAAAGAGAAGAAAGGGAAATGGAATTACCGGTGTAAAGATCGTCGAGAAGCTCGAGAAATCTCAAAATCAGCCTTGAACTTTTGCTCGAAAACTCAGTTGCTCAGAGAGTAAATCGCTCGGAAATTGCAGAGGTCGTAAAAGACTCTCAAGGAAAACGATGACCCATATATATACGCACGGAGGACCAATCACAGCATGACACGTGGCACAGGTTTTGAATTTTAAAAATTATGGCATGATCCGACGGTTGGTAGAGAAGCGATCCAACGGTCCATAAATGACCGCGTGGATGCCACACGCCCCAAAAGCCGCCGCTTCATTAGAACGACACGCCATTTGACGCGGACGAATCAACGGACGCCACGTGGAAAGGTTCTGAACCGGCGCGACTTTTCATGAACGACAAGAAGCGTAATGGTCACGACGCATTAAATGGCCCGTCGCTTCGGGTCTGGGAAGGACGCGCGAGGAGACGGAGAATAACTTTGCAAAGTAGGAATTACGCGTCGACCTCGGATGTACTCCTAAATAACGACCTCACAGAGGATGCCGAAGGCACCCCCTCCGAGCTCGGGGGCCTGTATGTTGACATCCGAATTCGCCCCCGAAAAGAAACCGGACAAGGCAGCTTCGAGGGCCGAACCGGAGACCCGGTCGAGTGCAAAGGTGCCGAGCTGAACTCTGAAATTGATTGACCCTGACACCCCCATGGGTCCATTCATTAGCCCGGTGTTTGCGACAGCAAAGTACCAGTGCCGGCCTGATGAGTGACGGGCTGGAGGAAGGCTCCCCGGGGCCGAAGGAGCAAAACGGAAGTAGGAGCCGACGTGAGGTCTCAGAACGGACCTCCAATGACGGATGCCGGTCTCGATAACAATATAATAGTGCCACTTGGAGAGCAATCATTGGTGATTGGACGGGGCGTCCCAGCCTGCAGATCTACATCCACTAGCCAAGACATAAAGCCTGCCAGCATTAAATGACCCCCATGTGTGTATTAAATGCCTGCCAGGCAATAATGAGAAAAACCTCAAATCGCATTAAATTTTGTCAGGGAGGCGCCGAATTGCTCTGCGAGAAAACTGTACGACAAGACCGGTGAACAACATCTGAACAGTGCCACATTTAAGGCCATTATAAATAGCAGCCCACTTCATTTATTTCTGGGTTGTTGAATTCCCAACTTTCAGACTCTCTCTCTACTTTCTATCTCTAAACTCGTATAAAAACTTTGTAAGAATTTGTAAGGATATTGCAAGTGCCGACCTCGTACGAGAGGCCGACCTCGCGATCGATTAATAAAATCATAATTAAACTGTATTTCTTTGTCTTTTCCTCGTCACCATTTTATTATTTATCTTTTTAACCGTTGACCGGAAACGTCCGTCAACAGAAGTTTTGTTGAAAGCAATCCTAGGTGCCCTCCCAGTTTTCTCCATGGCTTGTTTCTGCTTACCAAAGGGCATTTGTAAGGAAATTGCAAGGTTATCAGCTAGTTTTTGGTGGAGTACAAGTGAGCAGCATTCAGGCGTTCATCGGAATGAATGGCAGAGAGTTACCTTACCTAATAAGCAGGAGGCTTGGGCTTCAAGGATGTGGAGTTGTTCAACGAGGCATTCATTCTTACGCAAATTTGGAGGTTAGTCACTCATCTCATCTTGCTGGTCACTAAAGTTCTTAAAGAGAAATATTTTTCAGACGGTTCTGGCTACAAGCAAAAAAACCTTATAATGTTTCCTGGTTTTGGAGCAATTGGTTGTTGGTGAAGGACAAGTTTAAACACTTTTTTGAAGTGGAGGTGAGAAATGAAAAGAATATCAGCATCTAGAATGATCCCTGGATTCCTGGTGTGGTTGATGGGCCGCCTGAAAGGAATAAGGAGGGTTTAAAGAGGTTCCATTGGGTAAAAGAGTTGATTGAGGATGATGTCACGACCTAGAACAGGAGGAAGCTTGAGGAGTGTTTAAGGAGACTTTGTAATTAGCTCAATGCTGTGAGCAACATGAGATTTCAATGAGACTTTGTAATTGTTACACTAAATTAAAGTTCAAATCAAAAGATACTTCATTTTATGCATTTTCACTATGGTGGTTTTATAGTTAGGTCTTATTTTAACCATGTGGGGAATTGCTATATTTTGGTTAAAATAAAATTAAAGTAAGATGGGGTATAAGTTACATGCAAGTGTGTAAGATGAAGCTTATACATTACATACATGAGTGTGGTTGAGTTACACTATGTATAAATGTAAGATAAGTTTCATTATAATAGTGAAATGGACCTCGCCCGATCTTGGTTCGAGCTAACACAACAAGAATCTACTTTCTTCTACCTCAAACGACCTCCAAACCTACAAGAACTCAACACCGGAAATGGGATTTTTTCGGCTAACACAACGCGATCGATTAATAAAATCATAATTAAACTGTATTTCTTTGTCTTTTCCTCGTCACCATTTTATTATTTATCTTTTTAACCGTTGACCGGAAACGTCCGTCAACAGAAGTTTTGTTGAAAGCAATCCTAGGTGCCCTCCCAGTTTTCTCCATGGCTTGTTTCTGCTTACCAAAGGGCATTTGTAAGGAAATTGCAAGGTTATCAGCTAGTTTTTGGTGGAGTACAAGTGAGCAGCATTCAGGCGTTCATCGGAATGAATGGCAGAGAGTTACCTTACCTAATAAGCAGGAGGCTTGGGCTTCAAGGATGTGGAGTTGTTCAACGAGGCATTCATTCTTACGCAAATTTGGAGGTTAGTCACTCATCTCATCTTGCTGGTCACTAAAGTTCTTAAAGAGAAATATTTTTCAGACGGTTCTGGCTACAAGCAAAAAAACCTTATAATGTTTCCTGGTTTTGGAGCAATTGGTTGTTGGTGAAGGACAAGTTTAAACACTTTTTTGAAGTGGAGGTGAGAAATGAAAAGAATATCAGCATCTAGAATGATCCCTGGATTCCTGGTGTGGTTGATGGGCCGCCTGAAAGGAATAAGGAGGGTTTAAAGAGGTTCCATTGGGTAAAAGAGTTGATTGAGGATGATGTCACGACCTAGAACAGGAGGAAGCTTGAGGAGTGTTTAAGGAGACTTTGTAATTAGCTCAATGCTGTGAGCAACATGAGATTTCAATGAGACTTTGTAATTGTTACACTAAATTAAAGTTCAAATCAAAAGATACTTCATTTTATGCATTTTCACTATGGTGGTTTTATAGTTAGGTCTTATTTTAACCATGTGGGGAATTGCTATATTTTGGTTAAAATAAAATTAAAGTAAGATGGGGTATAAGTTACATGCAAGTGTGTAAGATGAAGCTTATACATTACATACATGAGTGTGGTTGAGTTACACTATGTATAAATGTAAGATAAGTTTCATTATAATAGTGAAATGGACCTCGCCCGATCTTGGTTCGAGCTAACACAACAAGAATCTACTTTCTTCTACCTCAAACGACCTCCAAACCTACAAGAACTCAACACCGGAAATGGGATTTTTCGGCGAAGAGCCTCGATGCCTAAGTAAGTATATGGATGAAGATGATGAACAATAACAAAGTATATGAAAGCATGTAAAGAGTGTAAAAATGTATCTAACCTACCACACACCTTTATATAGAGGTATGGTATCTTGCTCTCCAACTATGCCTAGAGAGTTGACCCTGCTGCCCGAGTTGCCCGTACGTACGATGTGCAGAGCTGTAGGTGGTCAGACTTTGTCAGATGTGCAAGCGACCCAATCCCGTTACCACATGTGGTCCAATCCTCGTATGACATTATCCCTGAGTTAGATGCCCTTTTGTCTTGTTCACGGGTCTAGGTTCAAGTCATCAGGAAGAATATACATTAGGTAGAATATCTTCCTTTCCATCTCTTCTATTGCTCATGAGGTCGACTCGACCTCATAATCCATCCCGTGGCCGATCTCGATATGAGCTCGTCTCGTGATTGACCCTTTCTTCCGCTAGGTCATTGTCACCCTGGTTATTGCCTCCCAGTCGGTCTATGGCTACAACCCTAATTGCCTTATTACTCCGGTCTAATGGTTGGATTCCACTGGTTTGGTTGACTCGATATAATATCCCATATCACATTACATTGCATGTCATGAGACAAGTTTCACTTTCATTAGATTAAAACTAGTAAGCTTAACTATAATTGAATAAGTTGCAATTTAATGAGTTTAATGGTTCTCCATTAAAAAAAGATGAGATGTGAATATTAAGAAACCTCTCTTATATTTGTAACCACATCACAAGTGACTTATCTATATATACTTTTATTCTTTGTGAAATTTTACGAAGAAAAGTAGATTGCTTGATCAATCCCAAAACTCATTTTCAATTTGTGCGTTCTCTAAAGATTTCAAGAGGGAGGAAATATAATTTTTGAACAAAGTTCTAATGAACTTGTTTGAGCCTTGTGTTGTATATTATTTGATAAGTATCATTGAGAGAAATATTAAATAATTAAATTTGAGTGTTGTTGAGTGTTTCTTTTTTATATTGTTTAGCTATTATTTCTAACAACATAGGTATCTCATAAAATATGAATGTACATGAGAGGGTAGCCAGACTTGTGCATGTATTCATTAGACAAAATATTATTGATGGTAATCTGCATTGTACTGATTTTGCCGTACCATTATCTTTCACGAGGTAAAATTTATACAATGGCAACTAGTGTCAAGAATGTATATATTTATTAATAAAAGAAATAATGTTTATTATATCTAAAATAAAGATTAGAAAATAATTATAAAAAATATATCCTAATCTACAAAAATTATTAATAATAAATTAACAAATAAAAAAAAAAAAAATACAATTCTAGTACAACCTCACACTATGATCACACTTTTGGAACAGAACCTCTGCCCTCTCACTAAAAGCATTCAAAACGACGTCGCATTTCAACTCGATCATCATCTCCCACGTCTTTGCGGACCCCACCTTAAACCTCACCGGCGCTTCCACTCTCACAGCCAACGGCACGGTCCGCCGTCGCTGGGCGTTTCTCAACGCCGTCACAACGGCGCCACGCAGCTCGACGCCGGACCACGCCAGCGCCGCCCGCACTACAGTCACGTTCCTCCTCGGCTGGCAGAATTCCGGCAAAACGCCGTTGCTCAGCTCGACGCCGCCGTAATAAACGCCGGCGGCGCTGTCCCTCAGGTAATAGATCCTGACCTTGCTGTTGGGGTTCTCCGCTCGGATGCTGACCGCGATTCCCGGAGAGATCGGCGCCGGCGACGTCAAGTTCACGCCGCGGACGGCGACGGCGGTCACGGCGTACTCCGGCGACTTGAAATCGAAGACGAGGTACAACGCGACGGCGGATACGGCGGCGAGGACGACGAGGACGGCGATGAGGTAGAGGGCGAGGCAGCAGCAGCTCCTCCTCCGGCGGTCCTCGCGGCGGGTGAGCGCCGCCATCTTCTTGGCATTCTCCGGCGGCGGTTGGCGGAGGATTTGCTCCCGAGGGAGCTGGACAATGTAAGTTGCCGGCGGAGGGACTGGATCGGGAGGCAGCGGCTTCGAATCGCCGGAGCCCGTTGTCTGCGGCGCCGCCGATGGCGGCTGAGGCGGCGGATTTGTGGGTTTATCGGCCATTGGGACGGAGTGGGAGAGGTGTCAGTTAGAACATCTGCTGATTTTGTATTATGTGTATATATATGTGTATCTATATGTATGTATAATGTATGTATGGTGTGATTTGAATAATATACATTGATGTTGGTGCAGGGGACCAACCAGAGAGAGAGAGAGACACGCGTAGATTGTGCGTGATTAGGCGCCGCGTGAGTACAGTTGTATAATTTTGTTTTATTTTATTATTTTCACAAGCAAATTTAGGAATTTATTAATTATTATTGCTAATATTAGACGTCTTGAAATAAAATAAATTCAAAAAATTCAATCATTTTTAACTCAATCATTTTTTTTAACTCAACTCTAATATTATTAATTTTATCAATATAATTAAATAATATCAATCAATCATTCTTACACACAACATCAACCTCAATTCCATATTCATCAACTCACATAATTTTAACTAAACATCACATCACATCTTCTCTCTCTTACTTTTACATCAAATTACTTTTAATTATTTTATTTTAAATATTATTTTAATATACCCACTAACAACTACCCATACAACTTTTTCAAATTTAACCAACCTAAACCAAAAAATCCAATCAAAACCAAAAATTTTTATATCCAAACATAACAATCTACATCACTTCTAGGGCGTGTTTGATGGAGATAATTTGAGGAGTTGATAATTAACTAGTAAATATTATGTGCACATGCACAGATGTACATAAAATATTATAAGTAATATTTGAGAATTTAATGTTAAAATTTTAGATAATGAACATATTACATTTTTAAAATTTAATCATTAGAAAAAATAAATTAATGATTCTTCATTATTATGAATAATTGTTTATTATCATTAGATAATAACAGTTTGATTATTATTATTGTTATTATTATTATTATTATTATTATTATTATTATTATTACTACAAAAACAATTGTTTATAAGATTCTAAAGTTGTTTGACTATGCTATTAAAACAATTTACTAATTATTTTTAAAGAAATTTTTTCATGAGATACAAAAGAAAAAGATAATATTGATGTTAAAATAAATAACTTGAAACAATTGTTTATAATTATGCAATTTATATTTATTGTGAATTATTATTAGTTGGTATTACATTAATTATTATATAATATAATAAAAAATACATGATTACACTCAATAGGATATATTAATGTGAGAAGTAAAAAACATTAATGATAAATTTTGTAACCGAAAATGGAGGGAAAATTTTAGAGGTTTTATTAAATAGGTTTTATTAAATGCTATTAGCTAGTAATTATATGTATCTATATATATATAATAAGAATTACCATTTATTAAAAATAGTAGCAAAAAAATAGGTCAGAATATAATGCTGCCTATAAATAGTAAGTTTTATTATTTTTCTTATTTTTTCTTTAAAAATCATACAACATTAAATGCTACTTTAAATTTTGGGCTTTAGTTCATTTTATTATTTAAAAAATCAGCTAAAATTTATTAAGTGTGTATGCTTTTATTTTTTTATTTTTTCCTAAAAACAACGAATAACATTAAAATCTCGGTCCCTATATTTATAAAATCTCAATTCAAAATATAACAAAATTTTTAGAATCTCGATCTTTATATTTGTGCCTTTAAGAAAAATATTGAACGCTAAAAATATTCTTTAAATTGCATAATCAATCAAGTAATCTTAGTTTTTTTAAAAATTACTATGTTTATTTTTTATTAATATGCATAAAGTATAATTAATTCATCTTTAGATATATAATTTCTAATCTTAATACACTATCATTTGGTGTAGACATTTATTATATGAATCATTAAATAATTTTATTTCATAAAGCTAAATATATTTAAAGATATGAAAATTTCTTCGGGATCAATTGGATGATTGAATTAGGGTACTGCCCAGATTGATTGAATTACTTTTAGGTGATATTTAAAATAGTCAAAAAACTTGACACAACTTGGTTGGTCCCAGGTGACTACGTTATGTATCAGTTCGACCACACCAAATCGATTATTGAACCTTAATATAAATTTTATATTTAAAATATTTTATTACGTGAATATGATGTAGTCCAAGTTTCAAACAATCGTATTAACAATACTTTTATGACAACATGTTTAATGATTTATGAATATTTATATATATCATTTTATTAATATTTATGTGAATTAAATAATATTTTATTATAATATTTATTAATGTAGAGTAAATACATGGTTTTCAGAACTAGACCGTCATCAAAACAATCAAGTTATTTTATTAAATCATTTGTGGTTTGTTTTAATTTATAAACATTTTAATAGATATCTAAAATGTGTTACTTAGATATCTAAACAATTTATATTCAAATGCTTAAACTAATTGAGAAACAATGTATAAATATCTATTTTATTTAAATATGGAATTTTATTTAAAATAATTTTAAATATAACAAAATTTATTTAGAAAATCATATCGATCCTACCAGTCCAACCGACTGGTGTTGACGGATTCGAGAGCAAATATTTTATTCAAATAAACTAGACTGGTTATAAACCGGTTATCGGTTCATCCGGTCGGACTGTGTCCAACCCGGATTAATTTTAAAACAATAGATAAATCATGATTAATGTTATTTATATATTTAATTTATAATACAATCGTAATATTGTTTTCCCGTGCATCGCACGGGCCACGCACTAGTATAGATTATTAGTGTAACATATAGAATATGCGCATTATGAGTTATTTTTTAATTTATTTATATATATTATATTAAATAATAAGTATTGTTTGTTGAAGTAATTTCTTTTCGGCTCATAAATCTATTTCATCACTAAATATTTTATCATATCATATAATTTTCTATCATTAACTATTAATTAAAATATAACTTATTAACTATTACTTAGTAAATAATTTTTTTAGACATATCCTACATAGAAATAGTTGATTGAGGTAATGATAGTTTAGATATTATTATACAAATTCACATATCAACAGGGAATACACAATTTGATTTTTTTGGTCAAAACGTAGATTTATTTTTGTAAAAAGTGAACGGTTATTGTTATATTTAAAGATGTTCTTATGATTTTTTGAAAAATATAAATGTTGTTTAGTTTCAACAGTCGATCTGCACATAAATATGAGTCGTATGTTCGGTTTTCAAAATAATAATAAAAAAAAGTTCTTTAAGTACACCTTATTTTTATTCACAAATTTGTTAAAAAAAGGTTTTTTTTACACCTTATTTCTATTCACAAATTTGTTAAAAAAAGGTTTTGATATTCATTTAAGTTGATTATTAAATATTTTACTTTGATTTTAAGGATGTGCGATGAAACAGAGGTTAAATCACTCAAAAAAGTAAAAAAATAAAATAAAAATAAAGCAACAAAAAAAATGTCGTCCTTGAAATTTGTAGGGAATAAATGGAAAGTGCAATTACAACAAAAACCAATGACTCATGAGGCCAACCAGATATTAAGAAAAAAAAAAGTTCATCCAGATTATTTTTTTCAGCTAAGCAGGTAAAAATAGCTAAACTATTTAACCAATATAAATAACAAATAAGAAAAAGGGTAATTATTTATATTCTTACACTTTATGAGAAAATAAGAAAAAATGGTAATTACAGCAAAATCTATGACTCATAGGGAATAATATAATTAATTGCAGTATAATATAATTAAATAAGAGAAATGATAACCGTTTTTGGCGGGAATGGAAAGGAATAAAATTAAATGTTGAAATTTTAGGCGGGATAACATAATTAAATGCATGACAATAAAATTAAATGTTGTTGCTTCAAATTATATATATAGATATATATATATATATATAGGGATTGGTTCCAATGCATCCCATTATTTAAAGTGAGGACGTGAGACTCATTCCTAGCCACAAGATTTAGATCTTGATTTAAATACTAATTCTTTATTTTTATTATTTAATTCTTTATTTTTAATTATTTAAATATTATTATGACCATTGACCGTTGACTCCGGCGTTGACCGTTGACTTCCGGCGAAAAATCGTTGACTTCCGGCGAAAAATCGTTGACTTCCGGCGTTGACCGTTGACTTCCGGTGTTGACCGTTGACTCCGGCGTTGACTTCCGACGTTGACTGTTGACCATTTGTCTTTTGTTATGTTATTTCTTTCTTGCTAGGTTAGTTGTGTTTTGTTGCTAGGTTAGTTGTTTGTTGTTGCTAGGTTAGTTATTTGTAGCTGCTAGGTTAGTTGAGTTTTGTTGCTAGATTAGTTGTCTTAAGTTGCTAGGTTAGTTCTTTCTTGCTGCTAGTTTAGTTGTCTTGTGTTGCTAGATTATTTCTTTCTTGCTGCTAGTTTAGTTGTGTTTTGTTGCTAGATTATTTCTTTCTCGCTGCTAGGTTAGTTGTCTTTTGTTGCTAGGTTAGTTCTTTCTTGCTGCTAGGTTAGTTGTCTTGTGTTGCTAGGTTAGTTCTTTCTTGCTGCTAGTTTAGTTGTCTTTTGTTGCTAGGTTAGTTCTTTCATGCTTGCTAGGTTAGTTGTCTTGTGTTGCTAGGTTAGTTCTTTCTTGCTGCTAGTTTAGTTGTCTTNNG